CTGAAGTGTCCCCAAAAGAGGAAATGCCAATGGGGCTTGAGCAATTTTTCTATGGTATTGCTGTTAAACCTACTTTAAACTGTTTGTCACGTTTGGTAGTGACATGGCGCACTGACAAATAAAAACATCTCCTTGATATGTTTGTACTGAATATTTGAAATTTTCTTTATGTTCAAAAGCAAATCTTATACACTAACCTTAAAAGTCAATATTTTCTTGACTGTTAAAATACCTTTCAGACAGTTCTTTCCTTTTATTTGTCTTCAATTCTTGCAATAAATTCTTGTTTGCAAATTTCTATTTTTCTTCTAATACTGACAAAACTAATTTTATTTCATAGATGTCATTTTCTGTTATTAATGAAATGGAGTTTGTATCAGTAAATGAGCTTACTTTTCAAACTTCCTCTGTTGTTACTGGCAGGGATAGTGCAGGAATCTCTGATACACCTTCCCTCCACTCTACCTCAATTTTCATAAGATGGTATTTATATAAAATACAAATTTTATTGTAACCTAATTATGTACAATAATAGATCATATATCATATAGGTGAACAATTCAACTAGAAAAATTGAAAATAAATACAATGTATCTAAGTAAAAATTATGTATGTCATAATAGATCATTCCATCTTAATAGATCATTCCATCTTAATAGATCATTCCATCTTAATAGATCATTCCATCTTAATAGATCATTCCATCTTAATAATGTTTTGCATCAAGTTTTAACATCAACTTGAGATATTTCTTGTTAAAAAGTTAACACATTCAACATTATAGATAAAAAATAGTGAATTTTATACAGTGTTTTTTTGAGACTTAGCATGAGCAAAACAACAAATTCATGGATATAGATGTAAAAAAAAAAAACCCTTTAATGACATCAAAATCCATGAAAATTTTTCATCTTTTAATAGTTGTGCTTAATTTAATTTGTAACATATAAATGTAGTTAAAAATAAAGCAAATGTTGATAAGAAAGCGAGGCTCACAAAGGCTCCCCCCCTTCTAGCTGAGGGTAGTGCACTCTAGTACCTGGTTACTGGTAAAATAATTTTTATTAGAAACAATAAAAAAAACCTAAGTATACATATCAGTATCACATTTCCTTTTCTTATTTTGTCTGCTCACATGTTAGTTGTATTTATGCAACAACAAGGATCTGTTTTTACTATTTGATTTTGCTAGTATTTTTGAGTAGCTGTCTAATAATATTATTATGAGTTACTATGCTACTGTAATTTGCAGTAAGTGATAGGTTATGACATAGTATGCTGCCTACAGTATTTTGGTTTATACATATATATTGTTAAGCTAAGTTGCCATCACTTGTTTAGTTTTTCACTTATCTAACAGGTTTGCAGCTTGGAATAAGAAATTTTAGAGCTGATTTCCAATTCATAGCATTCACTTGCACACAAATACCCTTGGGAAACATAAATCCATCTCTTCTCCCTCCAGCTAGGGGTTAAATAGTAGGACATGTATCTGGAAAAATGATTGTTGTCTCAAAAAAATTATTATTAATGTAATATTCACTCACAAAAAAAAAAAAGAATTATTCTTACAGTTCATAAATATGTTTGGCTTTAAATAACTTACAAAGAGTTGATAAGCCATAAAAAAAAACAAATCAATCAGTTATGGAACATCTTCATAGGATAATCTGAATTTTCTTATTGCAAATATTTTTATGATACAATTGTTCACTCAATAGACACTCAAGGTCAAGGGTTATTAGATGAGATTGTTATAAGGGCATAAAAGGAGGAGGAATAAGTTTATATTATATTTAGGATAGATAACAGTTGACCCTAGATTTGAAGAGATTAAGATTGTAGTGGTCAGGTAAACATCTTCTCTGGAATCTGTTTCACAAAATGACAGTTTTCAGGAAGCATTTGATTATTTATATAAAAAAAATAAGTAAAAATGGTAGTTTGTTTTGATATCAGATTCAATGTGTGCAGTGTTGTATAAAAACTGATCTAATAAAATCACCAACTGCCTATGCTTCTTAATACTATAGTTGCATATTATCCAGAAATATATTAGAGTTAAAGTAATATAAATTTTCTTGTTTGTATATGTTCAAATATTTGAAGAACCCATTGTATCCTCCAGCTTTCTTAATGTTGGTTTGTGATTTGGGTTGCATAATAATGATTTGAATCCCTAGGCTAGCAATAACTGAACAGTATTAGAACAAAACAAGATATTGCTAGACATGGACAGCAGAACTAGAATGATCTAGATTAAATAAAGGGTTTAGTTAAAAATTGACAGATATCTGATGGAGGCTGGAGAGCACAATAGCTGAAATGTGATAATAACAGCAAAGATGAGTTTGAATGTGAATTATGTAAATAATAACCCATCAGAAATTAAGACAAATATTTATAATTGATATAGAACATACTGCAGAGAAAAAAAAACCTTTTTGCTTAATAACTTACATAAAAAATGTAAGCTATTAAGGTAGAATATGAAGAAATTATGGGAAGCAATTCTCTATCCAAACAGACAAGTGTTCTCCAGACAGCTAATACAAAGAACTCTTATGGAGAAATTCAAAGCGCTTATATTGAGCTCCATGGTTGAGTTTAATTTTAATTGAAAGGTGTGGCAAGATTTCTGCTGCTAATAAGAATTGGAGTTTGGCTATTATCAGTGGGAGAACAACCAGTATCAACAAGGATTGACTAAGTTTCTTTCACACAATGTTGACATGCAAACCTAACATAAACAAATGTGAATAAGTGCATGGACCAAGTTGAGCATGATATCAGTATACTGCATCACAATATTCATCTTGAGATCATTTAGGTTGAGTCATATGTAACTTCTGTTTTGGGGAAGCAGTTCTTAAGACAAATATATCATCTTACTTATTATAAAACGCAGATTTTGTGTGTGTGTCTGTGTGTGTCTGTATGTTTATATATTGGATTGGATTTCCCTAAAGTTTATGACCTGCTTTGTTTTATTTTCAAATTACATCTTTTCGGCGCAAAAGCTAAGTTAAGCTTGGTTCAAAATATTTTAAATACACATTATAATTTCTGATTTTCTTAAAATAAGTTTTGAAAAAATGATAATTGATATTTAAAAGAATTTCAAAGTGAGATTTCCAGTTCTTTTATAAAATGGAAAAAAACGGTCAATTTTGCTGACTCAAAAAAAAAAAAACAAGATTTTTAACGAAAATTTCGGACGTGCTAGGAACGATTAAAAAATGGAAAAAATACCCCAAAATACTTTGATCTTTCCTCTTAAAAATAACAAACATTTAGATGATAAAATTTTGTTTTCATCAAGTTTGGCATCTTTTTCATTATGCTATACTCTTTTTTTTTTTTTTTTTTTTTTTTAGCAATCTCAGGAGGTACCTAAGCTAGCTCAACTGTAAATTGATGAGATCTTACTGACAGTCTAGTATTGCACTTAAATTCATACACTCTAGGTACCATAGTGAAGAGTTCATCCAAACAATTACGATGAAAGTTTTTATAAAAAAGGTGCAGAGAGGCAACCTTACAGCAGTGGGCAAGTGAGTGAAGCCAAGCAGCCAGATCAGGACCAGTAATATTGCTGATTCTTCATTGGATCTTATCAAGGAGCTCCAGGAAAATATCTGGGGCACTAGACCATATATGACAGCAATATTCTAAGCATGGACAAATGGTAGACTTATAGATATGCAAGATTCTGGAGAGAAAAATTGTCTTGCCCAACACAGTAAACTGACTTTCTTAGCAGCTGATCTAACAATGGATTCAATGTAGTCTTTCTACCTCATGTTAGCTGAGAATGTTAGCCCGAGAAGGCTCAATGAATCACTTTCTTGGAGGATAGCACCATCCATGCTGATGGAAGTTGGAGAGGAGTCGCTCAGATGATTAATGGAGAGGAGTTTAGTTTTGGAGGTGTTAAAATTGACATGCCATCTTTTATCCCAGATAACAACAATTTTGAGGTAATTTTGTACATTGGCTGCAATTTTGACCTTGTCTGACTGATCAGCCTTGCTATTGAGGCAGGAGTTAATAGCATTGTTAAAGGATGTAGACAAGAGGCCATTCAGGACAACTTTCATTTCACAATTTTATAGGAATGACTGGATCAGCTCAAAAGTGTGCCTGGAGATACTGTAGCTTTTCAGCTTGTGAAGAAGACCTGAATGCTAAACCCTGCCAAAGGCTTTCAAGATGTCCAATACTATAGCCCAGTCTTCACCATTTTTATTTAAAGCATGATAGACTCTTTCCACAATTATCGGTAGTACATCAGCAGTTGATCTGGAGAAGCAAAAGCCATATTACTTATCTGAGAAAAAATATGTGGATACATCTAAAAACATAGTCAAGATAGTAAGAAAACTGTCAGTAAAAACAAATTTTTGTCTTAAAAAAAGAATGTTACTTTTCAAAATAAGTAAATAGCTAATCTATAATGTTTGACTATCTCACAAGCAATAAAAATTTATTCCATCCCTATCCTATTTCCTCTTTCTCTATGATCTATACTGCAACTTGTTAATTTTGGTTGAAGTGTTTTTAACCAGAAAAAAATTTAAAAAAAGTGAGGGGAATAAAAAATAGTGAAACAAAGACCTTTTTTTATTTATTTTTTTTTATTTCATTTTCCCTGATTTTTGTTTTACAGACAGAAAAATTAATTTTATTCCATGTCAAACTACACACTTTAAATTTAAATGAAATTTTAAATTTAGATGAAATTTGATGAAATTTCTTTGAATGATGGCCATGATTTTGTGATGCTTAGATTGGATCTGAACATACATACTTCAGACAAGATCCTGTTTTTTTCTTTAGTGAATAGTGAGTGGAAAAGTTATGAGAATACCACCGAAGAAAAAATAAAAGCCATTGCTGTCCAGCAGACTATTGCAGCTGCATTTTTTGCTGTTTCTATCTCTGAATCCCTTCAAGAGACTGCTCAGTTCACCAAGATTAACTCAACACCACCTGTACCTATGTCTGTCTCTTCTTTTATTGAACCTGATGAATCAACTGCAGAAGAGCTGCAACTCTCATCATCTTCTTCCAAAAGAAAGCAAACTTCTCTCAAGTAGTGGCTCACAAAATACAAATGGCTTCACTTTTCAGATGAAAACTTCATATACTGTAGCATTTGTGCTAAATATAACATTTGCATAAATTAAGCAAATGCACAAACTTTCAGCACTTTATTCTCACTTGCTATGTTTTAAACAGAGAGCATCAGTTCTGCCTCAATATTCCTGCATTGCAAAAAGACTTAGGATGAAATAAGATGAAGTAAGACAGCAGGACAAAGCAGTGCTGGTGCTGTTACAAACCACTCAATGGACGACCCATGAGGGAGTCCCTCTATCAGTTTGATTCATTACACTGCAGTAGCATACAGTTCACGATATACAGCCAATGAACTGCTGTCCGGTATAGCAAACACTGTACCCACTGCTCTAAAAGCAAAAATAAATTAATTTTTATTTGCATCTGTGCTCATAGATGAATCTACAGACATAGCTGATCACAGATGCCTTTTTGTAAATGTCTAAATTATTAATCCTGAGTCATTTCAACAAAGAACTCATTTTCTTGCAAATAAAGAGTATGTTGATACAACAGGAGCAAAAATTGCAAAATGCACCCAGGAAGTGATGACAAAATTGGAAATCCCATTAACTAAAGTGATGAACATGGGATCAGACGGGTCTGTAGTAATGACAGGGAGAAACAAAAGCTGCACAGGCAAACTGCATAGGTCCAGTCCCCACATGGTGAATGGGCACTGTTTCCCTTCTCCCTGGCCTTGTGCACATCTCAAGCACCAGAGTCAATAGCAGACCTCAAAAAGTATCAGCAGATACTGACTCATCTGTTTTATTACTTCCGTGTTAGTCTCAAACGAGCAGCCAAAATAAACAATATACAAAAACTGCTGAAAGACCTAGTGTTCACTTATAAACAGCTACATTCCATTCTATATTCATGTTTATAATTTGTCCATGTATATTCATTTTTTAATTTTCTCAAAAGATCAGAATTATTTTAATTAAATCCAAACTAAGTCAGTTTAATATATTAACAGCTTGTTAAATAACATCAGAATTTAAATAAAATTGATTTAAAAGGAAAATTATTGTAAATTCTAAGATAGCTAAATAATATCTCCATTCCACAATAAGCAACAAATTTCACTCTTTATATAATGTAAATCTAGTCACTTATTGGAGGTAATATTTTATAACAATATTTTTCATATAAACAGCTTCAAATAATTGTACCAATCAAAAACCATTTTAATTGGTAAAGACGAAGCAATTATACAAGGTATGGGAATATTAGAACTAATTTTTATAGTATCCCATTCCCATTATATAAATTTTTACATGAGACTTGTAATGATAAAATTCAATGTCTGCTTGTTTAAAATTTTCAACCTCACCCTTTTAGAATTCATTGAATAAATTGATTAGTATTTATTTTATACATTAAAATTTTAAATGTTACAGAAAATAGTACAAAGTTCCACTAACTCAAACTCAATATTGACTCAGCTGTTCTAACTCACTACACATTAGGCAAATTTTATGTGTTTCTTATTTTTACAGGACAGATTTTTCAATAAATTTACAAAACACTTCTACAATAATTTATAGTTTTATTTTTACCATGCCCATTAAATGCACTTTGTGTGTCTTATTTTCATGCATATATGAAATCAGCAGTGAAGTTAAGCAATGTCGAGGCTGGTCAGTACCTAGATGGGTGACTGCTTAGGAATACCTTGTGTTGTAAGTTTGGATGTGTGAGTGATGTAATGGATAACAGCTCAGAATTGGAAATCAGAGAGCTGAGTTCAAATTCTTGTCAGGTTTGTTATATTCACTTACAAATACAAAGGTATGAATCTAGGAAATTCAGTTGTCATTCTTTTTTATATAAAAAAATATAATGAATGTGCAAATTCCAAGCAATAATAAAATGAAAATAAAGAAAACATGGGTAAAAATCATTTGGTATGCTCTATTAAATGCAAAATCAAAATGTTAAAAAAAACATCTATCTTTTGGATAATATTTAAAAAGCGTTAAAAAATATTAAAAATAGTCTTTCATTAAGTTAGTCTTTTGGATAATTGGTTCCTCTTTTACAAAGATTGAAAACAGTAAGTTAGAGGTGAACTTGTGAGTTTTTTGAAATTGGTTAGATTGATGTAAATACTTTTAAATAACTAGTTGCACAGTAAAAAAGCAGTGAAGAAAGAATTTTATTGTTAGCAAAGGTTCACTGTTGTTGTTCTTGGAGATGATTCATTTGAAGTCACTGACTGGCCATCCATGTTGTAGGAGATGATTTATTCGAAGTATGTTTCTTTCAGTACATGCTGTGAGAAAAGAAAAAAGCTAATATATCTACATCTTTTCTTGTGTTTGAACAGTGTGGAGACAGTCACATATCTGCTCACTTGTGTTCGGCTTGGAGAAAGCTACTTCTGTGATGTCTGAAAGTCAAATCTGTGGGTTTTTATAAGAAATCTTTCCCCAATAGTAGGCTCAAGTAGGCTAATTTTCTATGATTGGTCAAATATTCCACATGGCAATGTAAATTTCTAACTAATAGATACTTTGATTTAAATGGTGTGTTGTGTTGTGGAATCTTTTTGGAATGTTTGTAATATTGTCTATTGGATAGAAAATAAAGTTTGGGCATGTTTTAATATGGTATGTATGCAGCTATGTAATTTGTATTAAAATATGGCTTATTTCCTATAAGTCCACCTCTTCTATCCCCTTGCTATGGGTTAATTAGTAGGACTTGTATCAGTAAATTGTTATTTCAAAAGATTCTTGAGAACTAAAAATATTTTCTGGCTTTAAATTTGTAAAAAAAAAAACAACCATTTAACAACATATGAAGTCAAATATGTATCTTTGTAATAAACTCAATATTGTATAAACAAAAAGTTGATTAAAACAATCATAAAATAACCATATCGAGTTTTTTGGTAGAAAAATAAAAATATTTTTTCTGAATGTCTTTCAGTGGATCCCACCTTGTCATCTACTTAGTCAAGAACTATCCTACATACTTCATCATCAACTTTGATAAGGTAAAATTTCTCATTTATTCTATTCTTTTATTATTATTATTTTCTGTTATTTTGTTGCATTCTATTTTTGTTTTTTTTTTTCTTACCTAAATGTTCATAGGTTAACTTTCATTTCTTTTTTAATTAGTCTTTTGTTTTCTATGTTCATGCAGTGTAACATTTCTACATTTTATTTAATTTGATAAGACAGTTACACAAAAAAATATGACATTTCTTTATTTGAATTTAAAACACTTTAGCCAAGTGGCAGACTAAGTCTAAAAATATGATTTGCCAGGAGACAAAATGTGTGTGTGTGTGTGTGTGAGGGGCTACCCACAACTACAATACTATCATTTAATTTCCATAATGAATAAAATTTTGAAACAAATAGAAAAAAAAGTACAAATTAAAATTTTTGTAGAAAAAAATGTGTACTTCTTAGTAATTACAGTGTAGGTGTACTGTACATATTATTGGCTGTAGATACCAAATGTTAACATAGAATGTTATAATTTAATTTTTTATTTTTTTAAATTTAAATAATTGGTTGATATTTTTAAATAGTTTGCTGCACAATTTACACATTAACAGATAGTTCAAAAGTACAATAGAGTATTGCATGCAGTTTACTCTATTAAGAGCAATCATTTGGTTCAGTAGGTGTCGATCTGCCAATAATTGCTTCTATATCCAATTCATCTAACAATTCCTTTTCAAGGGATAGTGACATATATGATTCCAAATTCTCTTTGGCAGCAAATTTCATAACCTTGTCTTTATGATCCATAACTTTGAAAATTTCCTTTCACATTGGACTTGATATAACTGATAGTATGCAGATGGCTTTACAAAGTTATTGTTCTTTTTTTATTACTAAAACAGCTGTATTTTTTTATTGTATTATTATTTGATATAGGGTGTCCACACCCAGGCCAATCTGTTACTGTTTCCACCTTGAACAGTGCCTATTGATTGCACAGTGTAAGATGTAATCAGCAGCAGTTGTAATTGAGTATTATTTATATTTTTTTAGTATGCTTCTCTAGAAAAAAATATGCCCAAAAGTTGTAAAAAAAAAAAATATATATGTAAAATATAAGTGTATTTAAGACACCATCTTAACAGTAGGAAATATTCTAGAAAATCTCTTTTCTGCAACTAATATTAACAAAGATGTTTTGCTGATAATCAGTAATGGATTTATATGAGACTCTATTCTGGTTTCTTGCTTTCCTGTCAATTATGATCTTCAAAAATTTAAATGCAGCATCAATCATCATTTGTCTTTCTGAATCCTGTTTATTTTATTCTCTTTTCCTCCCACTACAGAAGGTAGTGAAGGAAAGCAAGAAGGACTAAACATCAATTGCAAGAATGCATGGTTATCAACAAAAGGGACAGCCCAATATGCAAATTACGAATTGAATATATCAAAATCTAGCAAGTACAATTTAAATATCTTGGAAATGTTTAAACAGAGGACAGGAAGTGCAACACTAAAATCCAAAGCCACATTAGGATAGTGAATGATGCCTTCCAAAAAATAAGTAAAGTATTAAGAAACAGGAAAATTTCATTAGAAACAAAGAGACAAGAGTACTAAACTGTTATGTAATATCAGTCCTCCTACCTGGCAGTGAATGCTGGACAATACCTGCACAGATGATGAAGAAACTTGAGGCAATAGAAATGTGGTTCTACGGATGCTGAAAATACCATGGACTGAACATGTAAGCAACAACAAAGTTTTAGAGAAAATGGAAGCAAAAGGACACTTATACTTAACATTGGAAAGAGAGAGTTGAAATTTTTATGGCAATGAGGAAAGAGGGTTTGGAACATTTGACACTCATACGACATAATGAAGGCAAGAGAGACAGAGGAAAGCAGCGCATAACCTACCTACAGCTTGTGTAAAGGAATTGCAGAACAGGGTTTAGAAGAGATAGCAAAAAGACAAACATTACTAAGGGCTACAAAAGACAGGAGATTGTGGAGGGCCATGATTGCCAACATCCTGAAGAGACATAGCACACTGAAGAACAATAATACCAAAGAACACATCAGCTGAAACAGGGTGATTGAAACAACAAAGATGATGCTATTAGTTCAAGATAAATATTTCTTGGACCAAGACAATTCTGACACAAGGTCAAATTCAAGGAGTAAACTTGAGATGTTGAAAGCTGCTTGCAATGGTTTGCAAGTCTAGCACATAAATTGTTACTTTATAGTAGGCGAGATAAAGTCGGTGAGGATCACTGACTTTATCTCACCTACTCTAGAGCAACAATTGTGAATATGTTGGTGATGTTTTTAAAATATGCAGAGAGCAAGTGTTAGGAAGTGTTGACAAACATTGCTTTACATAATAAAATAACCAATGATGCTCAACAGTGTAAACAAGCAAATGTGGACATGCAAACATGACTAGACAGGCTATTCAATTTTGTTTTGTTTTTTTTCACCCCAAGGACTATAAATTTTGATCCTAAAATCAATAACTGCATCACTGCACATATGCATGTACAGTTATTGAAAAACAATTATACTTTCTAGCCTGGATATATTCAAGCATTCAAACATTTATACAATAGCCTTTTACATATGTGCCTATATGAAAACATGATACATATATAATAAATAATCATTAAAACAGATCAAAGTTAGCAGTAAATAAATCAGTGTTATTGGTGAAAATTTATTTATTTCTCTAATGGATCATGTTATTTAAGTCATGGCAATTATGTGTGAAAAATAATATTGCCCAAATGTCCACAAATCTGAAAGAAAAAGAAAAAAATCTTTAGATGCTTAAACTTAATTCACATTAAAATCAATCCATGTTATTGGAACACCCTTTATATGCCTTATCAGTAGTATGTATTGAAAAATATTCTGGTTTGTGTAATTTACATTGTTATGATCTTAGATAAAAATAAATGATAATTTTTATTAATTTAACATAAATTAAAAGCAGTAACCTAAAATATTATCCTAACTTACAATTTTAAACACTGTTCAATTGAATCCTTATTGGCTTACAGGCAATATGATCAGAATCTTTGCTTTAAAAATCTGGCTTCCACTGAATTAATAGCATCTGAATTCTATGCATACTGCCTGACTTTAATCTTCCCCAAAATTTACTCCATATTTTGTCTGGAGATGTCATATCATTTTATTGGGGGAAGAAATTGGTGCAGATTGAATTTTGCATATCAGAGGTAGAGATTTTCAAAGATGAATGGTGTCTGCTTCAAGTTTCACTGTTCATTATAATAGGTATGATATAAGTTTTCTGGACTTACAGCTATATCATGTTAAAACACTGATTCTTGTATGATCACTGAAATTAAGCAACATTGAGCCTGGTCAGTACCTAGAATGCTGGATCACCTCTGCACAGATGAAGAAGCTTCAGGAAATAGAAATGTGGTTCTACACATGCTGAGAATACCATTGACTGAACATGTGAGCAGAAATAAGGTGCAGATGGTGTAATGAATAATGGCTGGGAATTGTTAATCAGAGAGGCGAGTTCCAATTCCAGTTGGGTTCATTATATTTACATGCGAAAATACCCTTGAGGAAAGTATGAATCCATCTCTTCTCTTAGCTATGGGTTAATTAGTAAAACTTGTATCACCACATCCTATCTCAAAAAGAACTTCTTAGAATTTAAAAATATTTTCTGGCTTTAAATAACCAGCAAAGAATTGATAAGCTGTAAAAAATGAATCGATAGTCTTCTCAGAATCTAGGCCCAGTAGTCTCCTCAGTATCATTAATAAGCTTTTTGAGAGGATATTGGGCCTCAAACTCACAGCCGACCTCAAGAGGAATTCCTATATATGATCCATCACTAAAGTAAAATGATCAGCTCCCTGTATCACTCTAGTAAGTATTTGATTCCACATGCTATCCTCTAATGTTTTAAGAGCCAGATCAATGCCAAAAATAGAGTACTGTTGTCATATTTGGTTGGGAACTGCTCAGACCTCACTTTCTAGTTTTGATAGTTCAAAAGCATCTCAGAGTCCTTAATAGAGAAGAATTATTCTCCTCCCTCCAACCTATCTCACACAGGTGGGATGTGGCAAGTCTCTCACTGCTACTACCATGGAAAGTGCTTGAATTAGCGACATTTCTTGGCTCCACCAAGTCTAACCTTCATGGCTAGGACCTGCCATCCCACTTACATGGTAGCAAACCACCTACATTCTTCCTGCAAACCACTACCCTAGAGTCAACCATTATCTTCCCCTCCTACCACTATAAACTACCCCTTAACATAACCCTCAAGTAGTGAAGATATGTCCAAGAGTGATGATGAAATTCTCCCAAGTGTGGATAGGCCAGATGATCTCACAGAGGAAGAAAAACACAAAGTTGAGGAACATGAAGCAGTCCCAGTTCAGAGAACCACTTCATGAAAGAGACTTGTTCCAAGCTATTGTATCTGATTAGGAGTTTGGGGAGAGCATGGCAAATGCATATCAGTACAGAAGTAAAAGAGGCTTCAAATTGCATGCAAACATGTTTGTCAACACCAGTTACATCCAGATTTTAGCAGTGGTACAGTTTGGCATGTCTAGCAAGATATGGGCCTCTCTGTAACTGGTCAAGATCTGGGTCTTTGTAAGATGCTTCATGCCAATAAAAGTTCTCTTTCCTCTCTCCTTATTATCCCCATAGTTGTTGGGAGAACAATTGGTTAGGTGTTTCCCCACAATTTCAAGAGACTCTTTGCTTACATTACAAAAGCCTTGTACAAAGTGAACCTTACTGTAAAAAAAAAAAAAAAATTTCAACATGGTTGATCTTCATGTCAACATAAAGATGATTTGTTTACAGAGTCATTAGTGCAGTTGGATAACAAATCATGATACTTTATTGTAGTTTGTCATTGTTGATACAAATTAATGCACAAATGAAAACGTTTTACAGAAATTGTTATACAAAAATTAGTGTTTGTGTTTTGTATGTTACTTTCATTGAGAAAGTTAACTGGATTGAATGATCAGAAGAAAATATGCTCATGAATTGCTTTCAAGTCATGAAAATTCAAAGCCACACCTTGATGCAATAGCAGCACTGTGCTTGGAAATATGTCAAAAACATTCAAAAAGATTACCTGTAAATGTTATTCTTGTCTGACCATGCTGTAAAGGGTCTAAAAAAGGATATAATGAGAAGATTTCAGCATTAGTTTCTGTCACAAGAGAGCAGACCTGAAGATGAAAAATTTCTAAAGAAACTTCAAAAACTGTAAATTTCATTTTATTTGAAATATAGGACACAATTTTTGAACAACTGAATAGACATGTCATCTCTCCTTGAATTTGGAACACCATAAATTATAACATTTATTTCACAGGTCAAATTCACATGAAACCTGATTAACCAATGAGAATCAGACACAAATGTACAAATACCAAAATGTCTTTTTTCTCCATCTCATTCTCTGATGAAGTTTTAATAAAAGTGAAACATGTTAAATTGATAAAAATTTCCTATTTGTTCTTATATATTATATATATATATATATATATATATATATATATATAAATCTTGGCTGCATATCATTAAATACCACAGCAATTTTTCTTTTGTGGAATCTTTCCATTTGTTGTGCAATCTTTCATGTGTCAGGACTCAGAGGAACTCTAAATTCAGTTTCCAAGCACTTTCCATCATCATTGATTATCAACAATTTTCACACCCAATGTAATAAAAGTAGACAATTTAACACCCAAAAAGTAAAGAAAATTTTCTCCCAATGATGACAAGGATTGTTGAAAGTGCTTGGAGACCAAATTTAGGGTTCCTCTTCCACCAACTGAACCCTGACAAATGGAAAGAATCAAAAAGATTATCAAAAGAAAAATTTTAGTTATTTAATGACACATGTCTAAATTATATATTTATCATGAGAGTATATAGCTATAATCGCAACATATTAAATCTTGTAGGAGTCACAAGATTGTGTTTGTATATTTAATAATATTTAATTAATAATTTAACTTTCTAAATAATAAATCTAATAGTTGTTTCCAATAACTACAAAACTATTTTCAATTAATAAATTGTTTGTCTTTATTCCTCCTTCTCTGTCTTAATGTTTTTGTAGCTATTGATCCTTTTCACTTTGTATATCAGTATTTTCTTAGAAGACATGAATATTCAAATGTTGCTTTAATATGAGTAGCGAATACTACATTGAGTCTCACTCAATGTATTTGAGTACTTGTAAAATCTACAATACCAAACTCTTTCTATTTATTAAAGTTTAATCCTTGCCTTTTGTGCTTTTTCAGCTCAATTATTGTTCATCTTTGGTGCCTCTAAAATCTATTGAGGATGAACCTAACTACAAGTTCGTTGAAGTAAGGATCCTTTTTTTTCTTGTCTTTGTTGAGTCATTTTCATACAAAATTATTTTTAAAAAGAAAGTAATAAAATAGGATAAACAATTTCAGAATTTTTTTTTCTTTCATAAATATTAATAAAAATGCTACCCTCATAAAAAAAAAGAAAATAACTCCCTCAGAAGGGAAATACTTGAGAGTGCTGCCATTGAATATTATCCAAATATTAATCTATGCCCAGGCTTTTTCCCATATCACCTTTCTAAACAAAATTACTACTCTCCCAACCAAATGTACACAACTGTATCAAGAAATCAAAAGGAAAATGGTTGAATCCATCAACACAACAATAAAAACGATATTTTCGCACATGATAGTACTTTAAGTAATTTTCAGTTGACAATATGAATACAATAGCATTTTCTAAATTTTTCTAGTTGCTAAGGACATTTTGTTTTGTTGTTAATAGTTACTTTGTTTTAATAAATTCATTTCGTTTTGGTCTTGAAAAAGTCCACATTGAACAAAACAGATCAGCTAATAATACAATTTATAAATAATAATCTTGTATATTTTATCTTGCTTTATATCCTAAACCCCACAACTCACTATTGATTTGTTGATTTAAAGATTACTGTGTCTCCTGCCAATGTCATTTTGTTAATTTCTCATTCAATATTTGAGCATATTGTCAATTAATATATAACAGAGAGAGGTATACACACACACCCACATGAATGCACACACGCAAATATAACTTTTATTGACTGGAAGTGGAAATGGTGTTTATATATCAAAGTACAATTTGGGTTAAGATGTGTGTTTACCAATGAGAAACACGATCTCAGGGCAGGAGGCGAGGTTTTAAATCTGGGTCACTAGTAAACAATGGGGATGGGCGAGATACTTGGTTTTGTTTAACAGTATTTGTTTTGATTAAAAGGTTGAATAAATGTTTAGATATCCCAAAGTATAATTTTGGTGAAGCGAGAAGAACTCATGATTGAGATAAGATAAATAATTGGAGAATAGGTTTACATGTCAAGGGATAGTTTTTGGCACTCGTGGTAGCTGCGTGCCAGGCCGAGTGTCAATTGTGATCAGCTGATCCGTTTTCTATATTAACTCGAGATTTTGCTAATAAAGCAGAGTCGGGGAAAGAGACTGTAGTCGAGAGTCACGAGACTATCGTCGCAGTGAGACGAGAGATTTGTGGGAGAATTTTGGAGGAGTGAGAGAAGACTAACCCCTGTTCTGAGAAATCTGTATGAGACGGGACTATTAGTCATAAACCTACCCCAGGCAATTCAATACGTGTTTATCACACACAAACCCTCTCTCTATTGGGAATTCACTGGATGCATTTTGTCTTTTTCTTTTCTCATTTATGTTAAATGTTTTTATTCTCCCTGTAACCTCTGTTCTGATGTTATCTTATATAAAAGACATCAATATTTTCCCTATTGTTGTCTGGCTTCTTCAGTTATTATTTCTTGTTTTATTTTGCCACATTCTAAACTTTCTAGCGACAATTCTTACAGCCGTGTCCACATCCCCAGTGAACGTATGGCCAACACCCCACTTACTGGATCTAAAAACTAACACATCATCGGCAGCGAGCAGGACTTGACCATTTGACCGGTTGAAATAATCTATGGGTACTCAGGGAGTGTACGGCCAGTTACCCCTAAGTTCGGTTCGGACTGAGTGGACACCTCAACCCAAAGAGGAAGACACCGGAGGTTGAGGGGCTGGGGACGAAGTGGTAGAAATAACTGTTACAATGCTCATAAGAAAAACACTCAAACAAAAGATTAGTGAAGAAAATGTTTAATCACATGAAGGAGTTACATGGATTAATAATTCAATAATAGTGAATACTGTAGTTCAGTGCAGCAATGCGTACAACACAACATTATGCCTTGCAACCCACTTTGTTACCCCTGTTTTTATGAGCAGAGATTCTACTCTTAGCAAATGGACAAGTCAATGTTCAACAAGTAACATAGAGAAGGTTGGTTGTCTTTCTACATGACAATATCAACTTAAAATAAGATAATGAAAAATATAGATTTGGAGAGAAGAAACAATAAAGCTTAACTTTCTTTGACTCTGATGTGTGGGTGGTGTCATGGATAGCAGTTTGGAATGAGACATCTGAGAACTGAGTTCAAATTCCATTTGAGTGTGTTACATTTGCTGACATACAGATACCCTTGTTAAATTTATAAACCCATCTCCTCCCCTAAGTTATGGGCCAAATAGCAAGACTTGTATCTGGAAAAAAAATTATCTCAGAAGAAGAAATTACAATATTCACTTGCAAAAACAAAAAAAAAATGAAAAGAATTATTCTTACAGTCTCAAAATGTTTTGGCTTTAAATAACTCACAAAGAGCTGATAACCCATGAAAAACAAATCAATCGCTTTTAACTCCTACTAATTTGAATGAGATTAGTGTTTGTGGTACCAACAAGATTTTATTTTCAGCCATTTGCAAAGCTGGCTTCAACAGAAACAAAAATATTGTACGACTTACAGGTTACAATCAATCAGTACAAAAGTGTAATAAGTAGAACAAGCAAATATACATTTTCTCTAATTTATTTATACATCTGTAAATGAACACTTATTTTTAACAAGGGACCTTATTCTAATATTCAAACAATTCAAGAATATTTTATCAAATCTGCTTTCTTCTCTCATTAGAAATCTGACCTGGCCAACTTCAAAATTTGAAACAAAGCTTTTTAGGTTTTCTGGACACTTTTTCATGATCCTAAATGACCTGCTCATTCAATTAAATCAAGTTAATCAAGAAACTGTTTCCCAGTTATAGATATGAACAACAACCTTTTTGTTTATATTAGTAAGCCTAAAAGAAAAACTTGTTCTTGATAAGTTTCCAATGAAAAGTAGAAATATATATTTTGTGAGAAGTAATTGTTCAATGAAATTGAATTTTTTCAAAACAGTTTTTATTTTATATAGATTGGTGTTTACATTTGATTTAACCCATTAAAAAAATACTAAGTTCATGAAATTATTTTAGTATTTTAACTGTTTTTTTTTTTTTAAAAATATTGGGAAGTCTAAAAAAAATTAAAATTTGGTCAATTATGAGTCAATATTGCACAAATATACTGGAATAATTTTCTTGGTTGTCTAAGAATAATTCTTAGTTTTATTTCTAATTTAAAATTTGTTATCTATGGAATATCGTTAAAATGATTACTCTATTTTTTCATACACTATCTGATATGTTTGGCAAATTCTTTTTTAAAAAAACTATAAATTACAATTTATTATAATAATTATAACAACACAAATGCTACAAACACCAAAGTTAAGCAATGTCGAGCCTGGTTAGTACCTAGATGAGTGACTACTTGCGAATATCAGGTACTGTAAACTTGGATATACAGGTGGTGTAATGAATAATGGCTTAGAATTGTTAGAGAGCAGAATTCCATTTGGTTTTGTTATATTCACTTACATTCAGATATCTTGGATAAGGTATGAATCCACCTCTTTCCCCCAGCTATGGGTTAATTAGTAAGACTTGTATCACTAAAATTATCTTAAAAACAAATAACGATCTAAAAATATTTTCTCGTTTTATATAACCTGTAATGGGTTTATAAGCTGTAAAAAATGAATGAATCAGTCAATCAAATCTTCAACACCTGACAAAAAAAAATATCAGTAAATCACTGAAGCTTAATGCATTTAAAGATGAGCAGATTTTTGTAAACTAAATGCCAAATATACAAAAATCGAGCAACAATAGTTAATAGATAAATAAAAATTCAAAAGACTTATCTGTCCCACTTCATGTTTCACAGATATACTGCTCATCAGAGTAAGATAAATCAGTTGAATTCATTAACAAATATCATATTTATATACACTACATAAGAATGCCAACAGTTGGTCAACAGTGTTAATACAAATTTTTGGTATATAGAAAACTATTGATTTTGAACAATTCTGCTAATGATATATATTTTTGCTGAATGAATAATATTTTATTGAAAAAATGAATAAAATGTGACATTCATGTTGTAGCATACCTACAGACGATAATGAATATGTTACATACATTACCAAATACTGTATGTTGGTCTGCAATTGGAAATTCATTGTGGAATTTCATTGACTCAGAAGCAGTTGACTACTTCTAAAATGACAATTAAAATCTTATATGTGTTGTTCTTGTCCTAAAATATTATCGTTCATTACCAACCTTCATTTGATTATTCTTCAGTAACCTTCCTATTTAAACAAACTTTTCATCACTGTGTAAAATATATATATATATATATATATAGTGTATATAAAAATATATAATTCAAAAATATATATTCTATAGCTGAAAAAATAGTAATTAATAATAAATTCCTGTTTAACAACCTTGTCATTTTGCTTAAAACTAGTTTTTTTTTTCATAAACTAACATTAACAAAAAATATTCATCTGTTGTAGGGAAATTTGTATATCAAAAAATCATCAAAAATCTTCAAAGAATATAATGTTGATATAGTCCTCCATCTTGCCGCAGAATCTCATGTTGGTAAGTCACTTTATTTTGCTGGAAATTGTATTAAAAGATATACATTTGAAGGAATGGCAGATGGAAAGATAGTATACTTGTTATAATTCTGCTTGTCCCACCCTTATTAGGTGCATATGTATGTTATGTCCTACTAATACCTTGTAAGTAGTGGCCTATTCTGTTTTGAAAGATGGAAAAGACATATCAGAGATGCTACTTGGAAGGGAAGATAGAAATGTTTAATATCTGTTTCAGTGAAATGGAAGAAGTTGTCAATTTCAAATCTTTTTTATTTTGTACCTATTAAAATAAATAATTACCTGAATTTATATTTATGATTGTTATTGCAATATTTTGTTAAAGTTGAGCCCAAATATTTAACAATGTGATAGGGAGAATTTCTATAGATATTTTATTGTCATAGAACTAGCCAAGAGCTTATTCAGTCATTAACTTAAGAATTGATTCATCAGAAAATTCAAATAGGAAAATCATTAAATGTTCATGGCTATTTCTATAACAATCCTTTTGTCACTTTATGACTCTGCTGAGAAAAATAGAATGAATGTTATTTCTGTTCTGTTTTTCTTTTAAACATTATGTTTCCTATGGTAAAATTCCTTTTCTTAATGCTTGAAATTTTCCCTCTATTATTTTTTTTTTTTTATTTTTTTCTTTATTTATATGACCTTAAAGAATATTGTTATTTCTGTTGAAAAGGAGACATGTCTTTGTTTAACAAAAAAAAAAAATAAATAGGTTTTGCAAACAGTTTGAAATTAAAAATTTTAATCAATAAAGAATGTTGTGGAAAGTCTCTCAGCCCAAACAGGAACTTATTTAATCTCATGGATCAAAATAAATCACTTTTATTTCTCAATTTTGATTTAAAATTTTCATTGTATAATTTTTGAAAAGTATATTAAATTGCAAGTGGAATGGCAAAGATTAATCAAATAAATGTATTTAAAAAAAAAAATAAAAAAAAAAAAATTAAAATAAATTGTCCTTAGGCTATAAACCTCCATATCTCATAAAAAGTTAGTTGTTAACTTTTATTAAAATATTTTAATATTTTTGTTTTTTATTGGCCTATTCTTTGTCAATTTTCTTAAATTCATCATTCAAAGACCATATTTAAAGATGCTCTCACTTGGAAACTTTTGGTGTTTAGGTATTTGAAATTTCCTTTAAAATCTTTTTTGTTTTAAATATGAAATGAATCAAATCATAATCAGTGTATCTGCTAGCATAAAATCTTTACACAGTTGATTTGAGAGAAAAATTTTGGACATTAAAATCAGTTAATTTTAAATTTTTACCTTTGAAAATTTTATTATTTTATTTCCATTGTTTTCTAATTCACAGATTTATTTTGTAGTTTTTCAGAAAAAAAAATTGTTTAACAATGTGATAGTATAATGAAATATTCCTGCATTTTCCTTGATGCCTCCTCTTCAAAAATTTGAATTTTTTTATTTTTCCCATAAACTCACTATTTAATAAGTTTTACTTATTCTTAACCTCATTAACAACACATTGATTTTGATTCAAAAAATTCAAATAATATTCCTAAATCATTAAAAACACTGTTCAAAAAAAATTATCAAAAATATTTCTAAAAAAATTACCTGTTTGTCACAAAATAATCAAAAATGCAACAAAAAATAGAAACCTAAAAAATGTTATTTCTATTCTGTTTCAGAAATTGCAACAACAACATGTCCATTCCAGGTTGGACAAATTGCTATATATGGCCAAAGTAAAACAAACAACAAACATTAATGGTTGAAGGTCCATTCAAAATGAATATAACAATTAAATTTATTCAACAACAAGAAATTTTTTAACTTTTTTATATTTTCTTTATTTATATTTTATCACACCAACAATAAGTTGGGAAATTTTTTCCCCAATGTCAACATTACGAAAAATTTATTTTCCATTAAAAATGTTGTCTTTGTTTAAAAAGAACTTAAATAAACAAAAAATCATATTATAATATCAATATGAGAATAAGCCTATTATCCCGTTCATACAAACATAAAACAAACAAACCACCAACAATTATTTTTATTTCAGTCCATCAAAATAATTGGATCTATCATTCTTATAATTACACCACCATTAACATCAACTTACTATTTTTTTAACTAACAATATTATCATTACCATCAACAAGCCCATCAGCTATTTATTATTATAAATTTTGATCTTTAAACTACCCCCAATTAAAATACCATTTAAACAATATTTTCATTATAATTTCCATATGTAACATATCAGGGGTGTTTTATAAATTTGAGAATAAAAAATTACCATTTAATAAATAAAGAATAATAATTTTGTAATTAAAATTAAAATGATGTCTCCAAAAAAAAAATTAAAAATACCTAAATCAGGATTTAAAAAATAAATTAATACATATAACAAAAATTTAACAAAAATAAAATAAAATACCAACAACCACTTTTTAGTTCAAGCTACCAGTGAATAACTACATTCATGGTTTTTATCATTCTCCCACCACCGTTACTAATCATTTCTACCAATTTACAATTTCTACCAATTTACAACAACTATTAAACTATCATTGTCTCCAATCCCTTGAAACATTACTATCACATCATATCATATAGACCCGTTATTAAATTGAACTACCCTCTCACCCAGCACATTGAATATTAAACTAAACATCACCATATAAATTATCCAATAAGGATTACAAATTTCTACCTGTTACATATATACAGTCACCAAAAACAAACAAATAACCAGCTTTAAATATAACATATAAACCCCATTTTTTTTTTCATTTAAAAATAAATATAAATAATAATAATTTTTACCTATCATAATTTTACACAAACCCCACCACACGCATATACATACATGCGAGGAAATATTTTTCAGCTATATAAAAATACTTAATATGACATGTATACATTCACGAGACATTTCCGACATTTCACACTTTTAATGTTTAAATTTCAACATTTCAACATACAAATGCGTATGTATAGATATAACACCACCCGTATACATACATGTGTCATATCCGAAAATGCCCACATATGTTTATATATGTATGAGTCCCCGACGGACGACCAAGTATGTATATGTGTCTGCATACATCGATGTTTGCGTTAGTACGATGAATGACAAAACGACGAAATTTCCCCCACCACTTCCACAATAACACCAATACACGCAATCTACATAAACCCAAATTTTTTAAAAAATTAATCAGTTTGTCTGACGATCGCTAAAGCGTGAAACCCAGGGTCACAAACTCACATCTATCCAACCAAATATATTATATCTATCTCTGATATTGAGCACTTTCTAATAAGTACCCTTTGATATAATATATAAATAATTATACATATATATATTTATTTATATTTATATACACTTTTCACACACACACATATATATATATATTTAAATGTTATTTTAGTAGATACCCATATTTGATAGATGCTCTGTTTATTTTAAACAATATTTTATTTTGTCTATCAATCTGAACATTTTAAGGAAACTTAGTAAGAAAAAAATGTACTCTCCAAGCATGATTTGAACTATTAAGCAAAATAAAGTACTGTTTTAAAATAAACAGAGCCACTACTCAAATATGGGCAGTTACTAAAAATAATGGTTAAAAAATAAAAAATGTCAGATTAAAAAAAAAATTTTTCCTTATTATTTATTATATTATATATATATATATATATATATATATATATATATATATATATATATATATATATATATATATATAAATATAAAATTTGTCATTTAGTTGATTGATGTTATATTCAGAACCCTGACTCCAGAGTTTCATAGACAAAATGTTTTGTAATTGCTTGGTCCACTCATCAGGATGTTTCAGCAATTGACTGCAGGTTTTCTCATTTTCATACTAAGCTAATAAATGATTTATGTGCTATATATATATATATATATATAATGGAGTTAGCCAGTAACCTAAGTTTTCATGTGGTCAAGTATTTTACCTATACAATATTAATGCCAAATATTAATATTTCTGTAGTTATTTGATATATATTTTTCTTTCTCATATCCACTCAATCAACACAGAGTAAAGATCTTTATTTTTTTCCCATGTAATGTTTTTGCATATTCCATTATTTTGTGGAAATTGTCATCCTTGTAAAACTTATCCTTCTGTTTTCTGAAACTATATATGGTGGTATTTGCAACACCATAATCATCAGTAAGACAACACACAGAAACACCACATTTGAATTTCTGCAGTAGATGTACAATGCATAGATCAAACATTTCTGCTTTTACCTATTATTACCCATGATAGTATCTGGGGCTATTTTTTGATACTTTCAGTTTTCAAAAATCACACAAAGTAGCAGCAGCATGTCTGACCAGCCAGAATGCTGACACACAACTAACTCAATTGGTTAAAAAACATGAGTTGTGTTGGCTCAAGTTTTGGTACGAAATGAAAATTTTGATCTTTTATAAAAGATGAAAAATGGAAATCCTTTAGAATTTCAGTAAGATATTTTATATTGTAAAAGAACAATTGTATTCTGTTTTCTTCATTGGAAATCTTGAACAGGTATTAAAATATTATAATTAGAGAAAAGAAAAGATTAGAACCATAATGTTAGAGAAAAATGAAACAAAACAGCTTTCATTATTTACATTTGAACTATTCTCCTCATCTTTGTTGTTTTTAACACAACATTTCAGCTGTTGTGTCCTCCAGCCTTTATGTCTATATCAATCTGGGTAATCTACAGGGAATTCCAAACTGAATCTTTTATCTACAGGGAAATGGTCTAGTAGGTAAAAGCATTGGTTTGTGAATTTAATGACACAGTGAGTTCAATCCCTGAGACAAGCAGTGTGTACTTGTACTCAGTAGAAACAGGTGAGCAATAACTGAACAGTACTAAATAACATAGGTACTAAACAATATCTCTAGACATGGAAGAGTGGAATGGGAACAATCTAACCTCATAGATTAAATAAACTATTCAGTTTGGAATTTCCCTGTAGATTACCCAGATTGATATGCACCTGAGGAAGGCCAGAGGGCACAACTGCTGAAATGTTGTGATAAAAACAACAAAATTGAGGATAGTGGTCTGAATATAAATAGTATAAATACTAACTCTTGGTCTTAGAAATTCAGACAAAAAAAAAAGAAAACGGCTCTCTTTCTTTTTGTATTTTGATTTCAATTCTATGTTTATTTGACTGCCATTGCTAAATGACAGTAAAAGAAAAATAAATTAAGTATTAATTTTTTAAAATTTACAAAAATGTCTTTTACTATTTTTACTTATTTTGTTTAAAATATTTTGTACCTACACTACCTTTCAAAAGTTTGAAGTCACCCCCAGTTGACAGAAGAGTAAAAAATAAAAATAAAAAAGAGCTCTTAGAGTCATTGAAAAAAGAATGGAATCAATTATCAAACTTATACTTTGAGAAACTTTGCAATGAATGCCAAAAATTTGTGCTGCAGTAATAAAGGCTGAAGGAGGATATTTTGACAAGAACAAAAAAAAACCTTGTCTTTATTTTAATTACTCTTATTTAAAGTACAAAACAATTATTTTTTAGGCCAATTTAAAAAATTATCAGGAGTTTCTACAAACTTTTGAATTGTAGTGTACATTATAGGTACTTAGATTCATTAATCTGACACAAGAAAACATGTTTAGAGAACAAATATATACTTGCTTGTTTTCTCTATTAATTGAAAAGAATATTTGTAAAATATTGTAAATTTAAACAAGACTTCATCAGATTTTGTTTCTGAATAGAAAAATACTTTCCAGAAAAATCTATTACAACAGTTTTTTAGTTTGAGCCTTATTTTACATAAAAAGGTTCCAGAAAGTATAAAACAATATTTATTTATTTGAAGGGATAAAATAGAAAACTATTTTAACTTCTACCTGAAATTTTGAGATGAGGTATTATCATTATTGCATACTGATTTATTTGAACTGGTGTCCTCATCTTGTTTGTTATAGTCAATGTTTCGGGAATTGTGTTTCGCAGCCATCTTTAGATGCTTATAACTTTCTGAAATTGTTTAGTCTGCAAGAGTACATTGTACTAAGTCGGCTGTTGATATTAAGGGAGATAACTCGTATAAATTCTTAACTTGTCCTCGTAATGCTGCTTCTGCTTATTCCGTTGTATATGAATTTCACCGTCTGACTCAAAGAATGAATTTAATTAGGAAGAATAACTGAGATAAGATATCCTCCTCTAATATAGATAGCTAAATGAAAACAATCTTCCTGTGAATTGGATAAAGAGTTCTGTTTGAAATTCTCGTTTTAGGTAGATTTTAAGTATGTTTCAATAATTTTTCTCAGTACTGATAATTATGATAACATTGTAATTCTCTTTTTATGAAAACCAAAAGAATCACAAAAAATGAGTCTTCATTATCATCATCAATTTGGGTGTGGTTGTAGGATTGTTAAACACCTTCTCAACTCACTCCATGTGACGCAGTTGTATGTCAAGGAGTTCCTCCTGTGAATGATCTTCCAGTCCAGTCAGTGACATTTTTCAGGGCATTTTTTCCCTTTGTCTGCCTCTTTTTCTTTTGTCTAAGGTGGTACATTGTAGGAGTGGAAAGATTGTTGGCTCTTATGATGTGTCTATGCCATTTGATGGTGGATATGATGTCTTCCAATGGGCTTGCTTCTTGTCTGATGGTCTCTTACACTGCATCCTTTGTGATGCAGTCTACATAGGAGATGCTTAGGATGCTTCTGTAACATCACATTTCTAATACTTGTATTTTTTTTTCTGTAATTCTGCTGTTAATGTCAAAGGTTCCCAGGCATACAGAAAGATTTAGAAAGCCAATGCATCTAATCTTTGGTTTAAGGCAGATATTCTTATCTTTCCAGACAGTTTTTAGTTTTGCAATAACTACCATTGTTTGTACTTTCCTTAAAATTATTTCTATTCTGGAGCCCTCTTCACTAAAAATCGAGCCAAAATATTTGAAGTAAATTGAAAAAATAAAAGCCTAAATTGCAATTGTATGATCATTCTTTGCTGCTCCATCATTATTTGCGATTTCTTTTTGTTTTAAAATGTTATTTCCATTATCAATACCAAGTAAAACTGAGATAACATTGCAAATTTCTGTTCATGAAAATGAAAAGGAATCACAAATAATAATTGAGTAGCAAAGAATGATTAGACAATTGCAAAATTCTTAGAATCTGTTTCTCACAATTCCTTATATAAGCTTTTCTTGTTATTTGATATGCATTTAAATATGTAATGAATTCAAATTTTCATAGGTTTAATTATTTTATTTATTTTTCATTCAAGATCTGTCCTTCTTCAACCCACTGGATTTCTCACTCACCAATGTCTATGGAACTCATGTCCTCACTCATGTGGCAAATGAATACCATGTCAAGTTATTTGTTCACATGAGCACTGATGAAGTTTATGGTGGTGACTGCTCAGAGGTTAATATCCTTTTCATATTATGAAAATATTTAATCATATTTACTAATAACTCAACATGAAAACTGAAGGAATTTTTTTGTTAATTTTTTTTTTTTAAATAAAATAAATCTATGCATAAAATTCTTAATCCAAAGTTTCTATTTTATATGTTGGGATTCTAAGTTTGTCTTTGAAGCCAGTGGGTCTTGACAAATACCATCCTTTTTTAACCTTGTGGCCTGGTGCTACAAATCACAAACAAAGAACTGTACCAAATAACAGAAACCATATCACATGAGGACTTTCAACAGTAGCAACAACTAAAATGGATAGCACATGCAACTCAAAGAGAAAATAATGATATAATCAAGATGTTGATGTTCCACACTACTTTAAACAAATGCTTATGAAGGAAACCCCCATCAATGGAAATCATAACAACTACTGGACTTGAGAAACCTGTTTTAATGGGTAAATTTTATAAATTTCAACTAGCAACAGCACTGGTTGCTTGGACAATGAATGTTGAATGTTTGCTTATAAGTAAACAGTTAATATTACCATAAACCAATCATTACACTAAATTGTCTTTAGTAAGTGGGTATTTAAGAAGAAGTTAATAAATTCATTATTTGTGATACCTAGATGAGTTGTATTGTGCCTGCAATTGTCTTTTGTTTACTTTTTGAATGAAAATATAATTTATATAATTGTTGGAAAATATTGTGTTTCTAATACAGAATAAATATTGAAGCTCTCAAGCAGTATAATATTTTCCATAAAATATTTTTTATAACTAGCTGTTTATATAATCTCTGATACCACAGATAGAACTAATTAAACAAATATATCACTGTTCTTTCACTCTAATGATTCAATGTATAGTAACAATAAATTCAAGTGGCAAGAGAGAGAGAAAATGTAATTATTTAAGCGCTGAATTATGTATTGTTTGTTTTTTTATTTTTTTTGTTTTTACCTAAAGGATAAAAAGAATAGCAGTCAAGAAAAATAGGTCAATGATATGTAAAATTTAATTTTTTAAAAACAATGTAAAAGTTGGTAATTTATAGTAGATGCATTATTATCAATAAATAAATGCAATTCGAAAGCGTTAATCCAGGGGAGGTAATTCTGTTGTTTTTTTTTTTTTTACTTTCCAGAAAGAGTTATCTTTCTTGCATCCATTTTTTTTTGTTTTCTTTTTTAATGAAAGCATAAATTTATGAGTAAGATAATGTTGGATTCTCTATCCAACTTTAAATATATTGATTCAATTTTACTTAACAGCACTTAATATATGTTTGCATAAGCAACTTAACAAACCTTAAATCTTTTTTAAATAACGTTTGAAGTAGCTGGCCATATTAAAAAAATATTATTTACATTCATACCTTGTTTCATAGAGTGGTAACACCTGTTACGAGCAATGGGCAAATAGTGAAAGCCCAAACTAAATCTGGTTTCTCTTTCACAGTAGTCTAATGGGGTATGTATATACCAGTCTCATAAAGAGTACCACTTGCAAAGGATAGTAGTAAAAGGCCAAACTATGTATTGCTTGTAGGCATTATTCAAATTCATAACCTTAGAGCTAGCATCTTGTATAATAAAAAAAAAAGAAGAAAATTAAATTCAGAATTTCGCTGATTATTGCAAATATAAAGTCTTTCATTTTTGCTAACAGCAAATTTTTTTCAGTAAAATATTGTAATCCTTTTCATCTTATGTATTCATAATGTTATCTTGCAATTTTCCTTGTCTCTTTCAATAGTATTGCTTTCTATTTACAATTCTCCTGCTTTCTTTTGCAGTTTCTTTCAAATCCCTTGCTTTCTATTTGCAATCTTTAAATTCTATTGCTTTCTATTTGCAGTCTCTTTTATTTCTCTTCCTTTCTATTTGCTATCTTTTGCAGTTTCTTCCAATTCTCTTGCATTCTTTTGTAATCTTTCAATTATCTTGCTATTTGCAATCTTTTGGTGTCACTTTAATTTCTCTTGTTTTCTATTTGTATCCTTTGCTTTTTCATTCAATTCTCTTGCTTTCTGTTTGCAATCTTTTGCAGTCTCTTTCATTTCTCCTACTTTCAACCATAACTTGCCTCTAATTGTTATTTATTAAAAATTAGAGAATATTTTGCTGCTAAAATTTTATACTGCATTGTAGAATTAATTATCTCTTTGACAGGAAACACTAGAAGAAACAATATTCCAGCCAAGTAATCCTTATGCTGCTACAAAAGCTGCTGCTGAATGCATTGTTATGTCTTATTGGAGATCATATCAGGTGAGCATAAATGAACATTTCTAGTTCACTGTATTTAAATGAATGTCATCTATGACTCATTAATGAACTTTTAGAAATTAAAAGCAGTACCTTTTAATCTGAAATATTACTGTCATGTAAAGTCCATGAAACAAAATAATATTGACAGAGTATCATGTTAACTAGGATTTATCCTCTGTGCTAATTTCTCTGCACAAGAATGTTTATACAGCCAATTATTTTACTATGTATGTAAATATATTTGTATATTTAATAATTCAGCTTCCTGTGATTGTGGTCCGGGCTAATAACATCTATGGTCCTCATCAATACCCAGACAAGGTAAGTCAGGATTTTTATCTAATATTATCATAATAGCTATTTAATGTCTAAAACTAAAGAAGCCTTTTTTTTCTTTTTGCTCGCCACTTACTTTGATATTGTAATACTATAAACACCCACATAGAAAGGGGAAGAGGTGGTTCCATCTTGATCTCAAGTGTTTCTGTTTGATAGACTGTTACGTGTTGATAATTGTAACAAAGGAAAAAAAATGATTTACCACAACACAGAGCTAAATCACAAACAAATATTTAATTTACTAAAACACAACATAAAATATATACAAGATAAACAATTGTGGCCTACAAAACAGAAAACACAGAGTTACTGGCAAAGTGTTACAAGGGAGAAGGAAAGGGAATCAAATATCTTTATCACTTTAGGGCTAGTGAAGTAATCTAAGTGCTATATTTGGAAATCCACAAAGGTGTGTAAATAAATATTAATTTTTAGTTTGGTCAATGAAAATTAGTCAAAATTCTATTTACCAAATTTGTTCCATGAAATTCTCTTTTGGGTTTTTGTTGGTTGGCAACTTTTTATAGAGATTCTATAAGCTGGATATAATAGTCCTCAAATCAAAAGCAGGAGTTGATAACAGCAGAAATTTCGCTTCATCAACTGACAAGCCTTTTCCAAAATCCCATTTTTTAGGCTAATACCTAATTTGCATATTTCTAGATGTTTCTCAAATCATCTAGATTTTTCTCGAATATACTAGAATGATCTAGAATCTTCCAAACATTCTATTTCTAATTTCTCTATTTTACAACTACTTCATGAATGAAAACTTTTTTGTAATAACAAGTAGAACTCAGTGGAATCCCTTATTATAGAAATGCATCCTCGTAACATAGACAAACAGATGGTACCTTTTGAAGTTTGGACTTCTAAGTAGCATCTACCTTAATAAAGCTGCTAAGATGCAAGCAGTTAGTGAATGTTAGAGAATATGAGAAAAATATATTATTAAGGAGAGAAAACAATAAAAGAATAATAATTAAGAAGCCAGAAGATAACAATTGGTATTTCATTTAAATTTTTTGAAATCAATGTTCAGAGAAGCAAAAAGCCGAAAGAGAGTTCCACAAGCAAGAAATGCAATAGAACTTACAGTCTCATCTAGCCATGAAAATATTTATAGAAAAGGCACAGGGAAGCTATGTTACAGTGGTGGGAAAGTGAAGGCAAGATGCCAGGTCAGGACTGATAACATTACAGATTCTTCTTTTGATTTTATCAAGAATCTCTAAATATATAGCAGGCGAACCAAACCAGATATGGCAACAATATTCAAAGCATGAATGAATGGTAGTCTTATAAATATGTAAGATGGATTCGGATGAAAAAATTGTATGGCTTGATACAGTGAACCAACTTTCCTATCTGGAGACTTAGCAATTGATTCAATATACTCTTTCCACTTCATATCAGTGGAAAACATTAGTCCAAGAAGGCACAATGGGTCACTCTCCTAGAGGTTAATATCAGCCATGCTGATAGAAGTTAGAAAGAGTTCTCTCAGGTGATTAAGAGATCAGTTTTGTTTTGGGGGCATTAAAATTGACAATAGATTGTAGGTCATTTCGTAGATCAGCTGCCAATTTGACCTTATCAGACTTACTATTGAGGCAGGAGCAAATAGTTGTCATCAGCCTAAATACAGAGCTGAGAACTGATGACATCAGGAAGATCATTTATGAAAATTAGTAATAACATAGGTTCAAGGATAGAGCCCTGGGGGACACCTGCATTAATACAAAAAGATCTAGAAGAGTGACCATTCAAGACAATTTTCATTTCATGAGTTGATAAGAAAGACTGAACCAGTTCCAAAGATTAATTCTAGAAATACCATAACCTTTCAACTTGTGAAGAAGACCAGTATACCAAACCCTGTCAAATGCTTTCAAGATATCCAACACAACAGCCCAACCTTCACCATTCTTATCTAAAGCTTAATGGAAATAATCATTAATACATCAGCAGTTGACCCAAAGAAGCAAAAGCCATATTGCTTATTTGAAAGAAGACCCTGTAAGGTGAGATGCTTAACCAATTCAGTTAATTACGGCCTCTAGTACTTTGCCAAAAATAAGTAGAAGGCTAATCAACCAATAGAGGAATCAGACTGTTCACCTGAGTTCTTAAAGACTTGAACTACAGAAGAGGATTTCCAACATGCAGGAAAAGAAAAAGCAGCAAGATATTTATTGATATCTTTGCTTGTGCCTCATCAAATTTTATGTGGTAAAAAGTATAGTTAAAAATAAAAACTTTTTGGTGAGTTGACTGAAAAGTCCTATAATTTTGTTATTAATAAAAAATAAATATAATTGATGTGAGTATTATGATACTATAGACATGCACAGAGAAGGGGAAGAGGTGTTTTTTTTTTTTATCTCAAACTAAAGTGTTTCTCTTTGATAGACAAGCAGATGGTTCCTTCTGAAGTTTGGTCTTCTAAGCAGCATCCATTTTAACCAAAGAGGAAGGAGAAGTAAAAATATTTTTGGAGATCAAGTAGCACCAAAACTGGAAATAGGGAATATCCTGGTGCTGGCCTATAAGTCATGCTTGGGATCAGGGAAGAGTTCTGTTCTGCTTTTGGCAGTAGACAGATATGTCCACCACCTGATTCTGAAGCTTCTATTTCATATTAGCAAGGGGTAAGAGCTGACATAACAGAAGTTGTCCCAAGTATTACCACCTGGACAAGCAGGCAAAGCCCTGAATAAAACAGCTAAATATGGGGGAAAAGAGTTCATATTCTTATTTCTCAATCAGGCATTTCTTTTATCATGTTACCTTATGAGTATGCAGCACTCCCTTCCCCAGCTTTCAGTGCACATCAACAAGATCATGAAATGCAGTGTAATCATTGGCTGGTCAGTGGAAAGTTTGGGTAGAGGTCACATTGTATGCTACCACCAACCTAACATAAAATTTGTAAATATATTTATATCTGAGCATTTTGTACAGAAATGTTAAAATAAATTGCCTTTATTACCATAGAGTTGTAACAATATCTTTATTGATATCTTTTGAGAATTCATAAATTTTGAGCCTACCTAGAGATATAAATTGATAAATTTATATAAGAAAAAATATTTCATTAATACTAAAATTTAATAGTTTCTTCTCACATGTAGAATTCACTTATGTCTTCTTGCTTGTCTCTCAAAGGATGATCTTCATTGTTAATCATCATCATCTGTCTTTTTGAACCCTAATCTCTTATTGTCCTTTCTCTTCAATAATATTTTCATTTGTTTTTTTTTCAATCTCAGTAACCACTTGCATCTTAGGGTCTTTATCACCTTACTTGGGGATAAAATGATGTTAAATAATTTTAAAAATTACTTACCTTTTAATGAGAGCATTATGGATGATGCTTGCTAAATAAATCCCTCATATTTGGTTTTATTGTACTCATAAACAATTGAAGATATCCTCTCTCTGTCACATGCAATTTGTAATCCTTCAGAACAACCATTACTCACTCCCTTTCTGCCCTGCATCCCCAAATATATGTAACATATCAATTAATCTTGTTAAGTGAATTAATGTGAATAGAGATATTTTAATCTGAATATATCTTCTAATAATTAGTATTGTTTTTCTTTAGGTCATTCCAAAATTTATTTCTTTGCTTCAAAGAGACAGATCCTGGTAAGTAATAATCTTTCTCATTTTATAGTTAAAAATATTTCATGTGTTAGATATTTAAGAAGAAAAACGTAAAAGACATAAAAGATATATATATATATATATATATATTCTTCAACTGCTTTTTAACTTCTGTCTAGACTTGTATATGTTCTGTCTTCCTGTTTCCCCCTCTTTACTTGGGTGTTTCTTTTTCTTATCTCCCTCTTAAATGCCTTTTCCCTTATTTGTTGCTTATTCCTCTGTTTTCCTCTCTTTTTTTCTTTTTTTTTTTCCTAACCTTTTTTAATTTAAAAAAAAAAAAAAAAAGTTATGATTCATTTTTTATCACACATTTTAGGGTTGACAAGCTCTAGGGAATTTATCCTGAGGTGTGAAATGGCCATAAAGATGGGGTACAATTGAGTTTCATTTTTATGTAATTCATTTCTATGCTCTATAATAAATATATTGAGCTCTCTTTTGTGGATCAGTTTTAATATTAATAGGATTCACTTGGATTACTTTATCTGTATATGTAAGTGTGTGTACATATATATATATATATATATATATATATATAGGGTGAGATGGGTAAATTATCCCAACAATTTATATTTTTAATTTTGACACATTATGTTGACTGCACAGTATAGTAGGGTTCAGTTGGGCACTGCCTGTAAGAAAAAAGAGACAATGACAAATTCCCTCTGCAAGAAATTTTTCAACAGCATGCTTTACTTTTTTTTTTTCGCACTGGAAGCTCCAATAAAAACATTTTTGAGTGTTTGGGTGTCAATCTGAGGATAGTGCAGAGGATTTTTTTCTTGATCGATGAGTCTAATGGTGATTATGAAGGTGTTTAGAGTGATCACTAGCGATGTTATGCCTCTATTCATCTTCCCACATGTGGTCTACATAAAGTGCCTTGAGGAGGTGTATATTATAGGAAATTGATTAAATCCAACAAATATTTAATATATTTTCTGTTTATACGTTATTTTTTATGGATACACTTATTTGAGTAGATATTGTGTTTTTTTAATTAAACAGAATTAATTACATTTATTGAAATTAAATGTTAGAAATTTCAATAAGAAAATTTTATCCTGTATCCTATACAGAACCAGATGGAAGCCTGGCATGCTATGACTATTTAAAATAATATTGAAATGCATCAGCTTCCTCTTTGCTTAACTGGAAGTTCTCAAAAGAATACACCAATTTTTGATTCCAGACATGGAGAACACATTTTTCTATTCAATTTCTCAAACATTCAGGCTGGTAAATGTAATTAATACTGTTTAATTAAAAGAACAGAGCATTTACTCAAATAAGTGTATCCATAAAAAATAATGCATAAACATAAAATAGATTATTATATATATATATATATATATATATAAAAATGCAGTGCAGTTTGACTCTTCTGAAGAGTGGTTGCATCTATGTAACCTGAAACTTTAAGTAAACATGAGTTAAGTGAAAAAACTTTTTCATTAATTATATATATATATATATATATATATATATATATATATAGATGTCCAATTTTATATTTTAAACAGTGTGCAAAATAATAAGTAGATGTCTGAGTAGTGTAACTATTATCAGTACAAAAAAAGAGATTTGGCAACCCATGTTCAAATTTTTTTACTGTATTACATTCACTTTTTATGATTCTCTTTGGAAAAACAGGAATCCATCTTTTCTCCCTTCCCTAAATCAGATATGGTCTAAATAGAAGAGTAGAGTGCACTCTGCTATTTATAGACTTACTATTTACTATGACGATCTGGCCCAATACCTTGCCTCCCATAACCTAGTATGGCTAGAGATAGGAAGTGATGGAAGTCAACTATGGAGGAGTTCCACCAACAAGAGTGAGAAGGCCCTGGATTTGAATTTGGATATTGCTCTCTCTAAACTTTGAGAAGGACTACTCTGAATTTGAAACCATGGTGGAGGCAACAATAAAGAAAAAAAAAAAACCATTATCATTCCCAAGAAGTCATGACAATTTACAGATGATAAAAAAGAGGAATCTGTGAAGAACTAGGATTGAAGAGACAGAGCAAAAAAAAAAAAAAAATGTTGCCGATTATATTTATACTTTATACCAAAGTCCATATCTATGTAAAAAAAAAAAAAATGTGTAACTTAAAAAAATGATCACTTCTATCTGAACAATAAAAAAAAATTACATTTAACAGTTTAAAAATACAAAGCTAATGTGACTTTTTTTCCAGTTGTATCCACGGCAATGGTGCTACCATTCGAAACTTCATCTATGTTGATGATGTTATTAAAGGCATTGATATCTTATTGCACAAAGGCACACCTGGAGAAGTCTACAACATTGGAAGTAAGATTGGAATCAGTATTTTAGAACTGGCCAGATATCTTATTCGAAAGGTAGGTTATTATTCATACAACATTCATCTGTATTACAACGATGAGCTTAATGATTGTTTATATGATTATCATTTGAAGTATCTGCAATGTTATCAGTCCAGACCTGGCATCTCAGCTTCAGTCACTTTCCCACAGCTATAATGTAGCTTCATTGTGCCTTTTTAATAAGTATTTTCACAATAATTGTTTCGATGAGCTTTCTTACCTCAACTTCACAAATTTAATTTCTATATTATATTGGCAATATGGGGGGGAAAGGGTTAAAAATATATATACAGTAAGTCTCCAGGTTGCGACATTCGCATCCTATGACAGTTCATGGTTACAACGCAATCCCCATTAATTTTGTTTTGACTTATGCCATTTGCCCTGTACATAAGTCGGCATGGGTCAGTTTCTGGTTATACACCATATTGGATTGTTGTGCATTCGCTCTCTTTTGTTTGTGGAAACTTATTACCCTTTATTATGGCTCCCAAGCATAGTGTAACCTCTTCTGATGGCAGGACTTTGAAGAAAAGGAAAGCCATTACCATGAAAGTGAAATTAAACATTTTTAAATGCTCTGAAAAGGGAGAAAAAACATTGGCCAGTTGCTTGACTTAAGTCGTTTGACTGTCGCTTAAAACATGTACATATTTATGTACATATTGAATTTCCCCTGTAAGAGTTATGAACATTTTCTTGTTAAACTATAAATTGATGGATTCACAATAAAAAAGGAAAACGAACTCACATTTGTTTCTTGCCCACATTTACTGCTGTTTCCGAGTACTCCAAGAGAGACAAGATCTTAGCCTTCGTCATCTCATCTACTGAGAGCCAATAACATCACTGGTAATAAATATACAAGCAGCTTAAAACAATTTCCTTATATGTATTATTTTCATTTCATTTCATGTGTTTTATTTATGTCCTCCACGTGCTTTTTTTAGTCTTATGTTAAGATATATTATGTCCTAGATTATTATTTTACTATTGCATTAGCATAGCTGAGTGAAGTAAGTGGAAAATTGCATTACGATGCATTGTAGGAATGGAACTGTCATAAGTCAAGTATCCCATGTATATACTAATTTATGAAATGGAGATAAAATTGATTATAAAACAAATGCTGCCATTTAAATGTCCTCAGTTTTCAGTTTCAAAGAGTTGGAATATTTTGATAACATTTTATGTAACATTGAATAAGTTGGTTGCAATCCCAGAATTTCTGTACAGATGTCCTTCAGCTACTGAATTGTATTTAGTAATTGCACATTATATGGGTACAGGTACAAATCATTTCTTACAATTTAGTGATACCCAAGAAACACTGATAATGTAAGTTTCAAAAGTTTTAAGTTTTCTACAAGACTAGATTGTTTTGTTTTTCTAGATTTCTCAAGAAACTGTAATCCCAATCTTAAGATAGCACTAAAGTTTTGGGACAAAAATTAAAATTAGCCTACTCATGTGAATGGTTATCAATTTTTTAAAATTTAATTTTGTCATTGCTTTTTATCACAACTTTTTAAATCAAATACTTTGCAATATTTAAATTGTGTGAAGTATGAATAACAAAATAGCTTCCGATGAGACTTGAACTCCAATTTTATATCTTGGGTGCTTTTATGGGGAATGTCTTAGCCAATTTGACCACAGAAGCCTATGGCTAGACAAGCCACAAATATAATCATATTGCCTCTATACTCTATAGTTTGTTTTTAATATCTACTGATACTCATAAATTGCTTGAACTCCAATATCAAGATCTAAAAAGTTGTCATAAAAAGTTACAATAAGAAAATTTTACTAAAAATGGATGGGAAAATTCTTTATCACCAAACTGAAATAATTTAACAGAATTTATTAAACAAAGATGGTCTCCTCCTATTTCATTATGTGATTATCTTTGTCTTTTGTTTTTTCATTTTTCTGCATCTCCCAATTTGAAATTGAGTGGATGTCCTTTGCTTCTTTTCAGGTAAAAAACATTGAGGAACCAGAAGAAATAAATAAATACATATCATTTGGAACTGACAGAATCTACAATGACACACAGTATATCATTGGCACGAACAAAATTTCACAGCTTGGATGGAAGCTGAAAATTGACTGGGAAAATGGAATAAGTAAAACAAGTAAGTTTCTGACAAAATCTCTGATATCAAAGTTCAATAATTATTGAATCAACATACAATTATTGTTCCTTTCCTATTCAGATTACCATATCATATAGTGTAAGGTTTCATAGGAGAATATTATCACTTGACTTTGTCACAAAAAGTATTTGCAAGTATCAGTTTTATAACATTTTTGTTATATATTATATTACAGTGTAACCTGGATATAAGAGAAAACCGGATATAAGAGAGATTTTTTCTGGTCCCAAATTAGAGCCTGTGTTAATTGTATACATATAGATCAAACCCGGATATAAGAGACTTCTTCTCTGGTCCCGACAACTCTCTTATATCCGGGTTACATTGTATATTGCCTTCACTTACATCTAAGATTTCTCATTATGGGAATAACTTAGACAATTATTTTCAGTTTTATCTTAAGCTATGTTCTATTCTCTCCCTCTGTATATCTAACACATATATATATATGTCGAATGTATAATAGTATTAGAAATAAAAGTGGAGGTAATGAGACAGTGAAAAAGATTTTAAATAACATGTTTTGCCAACAAGATATGGGTTAGATTTAGCTTCTTCAGGTTGGAATGAAAGACAAAACTATGTGTAAGGAAAATGTAAAGGGATTTTTGAGGATAAGAGGGACAATTACATTATCAGATCCGAAGACTAGTGAATGTTTATTCATATATATATATATATATATACACACTCTGTCTCTCTACATGTATATAATTATTTATTTAAAAATTTTTGAAACATGAGAACACTTATGTAGTGATGGAATTGTATTTTTAAATAAATAATTATATTTAGGCTCTACTTTTGTATCGAGCACTGTTTGTTAAAAATAATAACAAAAATACTAAAGAACTTTGGATTATTTACCTAACGAGTTCTTTCCTATTTTCTATATATTTTTACACACACACACATATATATATATATATATATATATATATATATAAATATATATATTTTTTTTTTTTTTACCCATTTAGTGCTGTTTCATGCTTAGCAATTTTTCAAAATGGGTTGCTATTTATTAATACTCCCAAGATTTGTCTTTTTCATTTATTTTTTTTAAACATCAGCATGCAAATAATTCAAAATAATTTAGTTCATTTTTATTATCAAATTGTTCACATTCTTAACCCTTCATTACTCACCTCAAATTTCCAATAAATGTTAATACATTTGACATAGGGGTGCAAAATACTTAATAAATTCAGAGTTAATTAGAGCTACTAGTACTTTGTCAAAAATGGTAGAAGGCTAATAGGTCAGTAGAAGGATCAAATGGTTCACCTTATTTCTTAAAGACTGGAACTACAGAAGAGGATTTTCAAGAAGCAGCAAGGCATTTATTATAGAGTTTAGAGAGAACAGGAATCAGTTCAGGAGCACATTTCATAAGTACTTTTACACACTGTTATGTTTGAAATAATAAAAATGTTGGATTAAAAATAAACACATTAATTCTTTAAAAATATATAGTTATTTTCTAAGATAATGGATTTTATTTATCAATATTACAGATTTTTATTGCTGTAAATGTTTTTTTAGTGGATACTCATATTTGGGTAGACACTCCATTTATTTATTAAATAGTATATTTATTTTTGCCTACTGACCTGAACATTCGAGAAATTATATGATCTCCTGCTGAAGAGCACATATTTTCTTTCATAAGATTTTTTAAATATTCAGGCCAGGAGACATCAAACTTGGCTTGATCGGCAAGGCAACTCCATAACCAAGACAGTGAAGGCACATTGGCTCTAATGAGTTTCACTCTGTCCAGAGGAATGCAGGCTCAAGTTCTTCCAAAGCATGCATGTTTTTTGGGTTTTTTTTTTAATTTCTTGAATATTCAGGCCAGTAGATGAAAATAAATAAGTATAATGTTTCATATATAAATGCAGCATCTACTCAAATATAAGTGTCCACTAAAAATAATGTTTAAAGTGATAAAAAAATGAATACAAATGTGAATATAAAAAACCCAACTGGAATTGGAACTCTGCTCTCCAGTTAACAATTCCAAGCTTATACCACCCACACATCCAAGCATACAGCACCTGATATTACCAAGTGGTCACCACCTTAGATACTGATCAAGCTCAACATTGCTTAACTTCATTGATCATGCAGGAACATATATTTCAATGTGAAATTTAAGCTTTCTTTCAAACTGGAGCATTTCATATTCTTATTGCAAAAAAGAGAAAAGGAAGTCTGTTTCTGATAAGAAATAAATAGATATTTGTTGGAAAAAAAGTTATGTTCATGGAGTGCCTTTTAAAAAAAAAAAAAAAAAAAAATTAACTTACTCTCAATGGTTTGTGAGATGTGGTCCCTCACAAGTTCATTACTCCAAATGTTGCCAGTAAGTCAAATACAAAACAACTTTCAACTCCATTTTTCTGATTTTATAAGATAAATTAGCCTTTTTCTAATAAGTGCTTCAATAAGCCTTTATATGAAAATCCTGAAAAAAAAAATAGCTGAATAGTTTTTAGTTTTTGATATCTTCCACACATGGTATATGACTTTGAAACACCGATTCTCATATGATTACTGAAGTTAAGCAACATCGAGCTGGGTCAGTGATGGATGACTGCTTGGGAATACCAAGTACTGTCAGCTTAGATGAGCAATTGGATTGTGGCTCATGATTGGAAAGTTATATTCACTTACATGCAAACAAATAACCTTGGGAAAGGTATGAATCCACCTCTTCTCACCCCAGCTATGGATTAATTAGTAGGACGTGTATCAGTAAATCATTATTTTGAAAAAATTCTTACAATCTAAAAGTATTTTCTGGCTTTAAATAAAATGCAAAAGATTGATTTGTTTTTTTATAGCTTATCAATCTTACACACCCATATAGTGAGCCCCAAAATGTATGTATTGCTTATCTGTTCATAACTCTGTATTTGTTTCAGCAAAAATTGGCTTTAGAAATAGAAACCTATAGATGGAAGAATGTTACAGCCTTAATTATAAAGATTTTAAACTGTTGCATTTATTTCAAACTGAATAATTTTATAAGAGTATTTTATAATAAAACTAAAATATTATTGTTTATTATTGACTAGTTTTTCTTTCATTTTATTTTGTCAGTTTTCTCTGTCACAATGTTCAGATTGTTAATCTTTATTTCTGATCAATGCTGCCAATTTAACGGTCATAGAAAAATGTAAAAACAACCAAAGCATTGTGATAAAAACAGACAAAAGTATTAATAACAGGAATACTTTATCCAAGGCATTCAAACAATGAATGCTTATCTTTTTCTGAGATATCAATTTTTATATTCAAGTTGTCATCCATGTGTTAAATGTGGTTTTTGTTTTCCCTTTTCAGTTGATTGGTACCAGAAGAATTTCTCCAACTGGGAAGGGGCAGAAAGTGCTCTTTCACCTTTCCCCAAATCTCTGTGTTAAAAAAAAGCAGAAAAGATTTATAGAGGATCATGTATGTTTCTTATAAACATCATAACCGCACATACGCACAAACCATTTTCTTTAATGCAACATGTTAAAAATATGCTCCTTCCATTAAACTTGATTTTTTTTTTTTTTACAGCATGAATCCAAACATTTCCTTACATTTTCCTAAGGATTATAATAGTGCTTAACATTTAAAAAAAAAAAATTATTTCCTTATACAGTTATTGTATGTCAAACAAGGCAATACAATTTAGTTTCTAAGTATAGTGACTCTAGCTGGCCTAAGACAATAAATATCTACTTAAACTAAAATAAAAAATGTGTAATTCACCTTTATAATATACATTTTTAATCTTAATGTTGCATTATAGAAATAAAATTGTTTTTGTTTAAATTAATGGGAATAAAAAAAAAAATGAATACATTGTTTTTCATAAATGGAATGCTTCTCTTTTGGGCCTGATTTTAGGACAAAGTGTATGGTATTATTTTTGTTGGGGTATTAGACACTCAAATTCTAAACTTTTTACACATTTACTCACCTTAGCTAAATTTGGCTTAATCTTGAAAAATCTAATTATGACTAACATCACTAAGAACTGCTTGTGGGAAGGAATTGCTACTAAACATTGGTATAGGGTAAGTACATAATTTCAAACTCTATATAAACTAAGCATGAGAAATGTTTAAAAAAAAAAAATTTATTCTTATACATTCCAGTTTTGTAAATAAACAGAAGAAAAAAAAAATTATGAAAAAAAAACTTCATCAGATCTCTGTTGTGGGAGACATATTTTGGTCATGAGATTTTGAATATCTACAAAGAATCTAACAGTTAATTCTTTCTAAATACTTGGGAATCAATTATATAAGGAAATGATTGTCACTTTATCAGGCAGAGGACTTGGCTTTTTCAGGATTGTTTTAAACACCACCCCATCTGATTATAAAGCTATTTTGTATAGCCGACAATGAAAATCTTGGAATTCTTTTTCTTATTTCCTACATTCTTTTATGCAATTGTAACATTTTTTTTATTGATTACTGAAGTTGGCTAACCTAAGACTTAATGTGGTATTGCATCAGAACAAATGGAAAGGTTTTTTTCATTGCCCCTTTTGAGTAAAAATTGTTTGAAAAACTAAAGTTTAAAAAAAAAAAAAAACCTTTTCAATATTAAAACCTGCCCAGGTTTCCATGTCTTATTTTGCATTGATTTTCAAATGGTAAATTCAGTATTTATAAAAATTATTATGGTTGTTATTTAAAGACACTTGTTTTTGAAAATTTTTATTTCAGCAGTTAAGTTTTAGTATTATGAAAGTGCTATTTCCTTTTAACAAGTTTCATTCAAAAATCTCAGTTGTAAAAGATTTAACTTTTTATTATATTTGCATTTCTAAAATTTAATGTTTATTAGATTACAAATTTTAATTGCCAATAGTCATGCATGATTCTGTTTTGTAAAAGATTTTATTAATTCATAAGCCTATAATCAATCTTAATTGAATTTAGTCATAAAAATTTTTATTTATCTTCTGGCATCTTATTTTCATTGCCACTGAATTGTTAACATGAAGAAATTATCTACGATGTAGATGTTTACTTAAGTGTCCTTGTTGTTTTGCTGAGTAAGAATATCTTATTTAGTAAAAAGTTATACATTTAAAAAAATTTTTTTTTAATCATTTCATCCCAAGCAAGGCAATAAAACAACTAAGGCACAAGGGTTTACTGAACATGAGAAAATATTAGGAAAAAAAGAAAGAAAAAGAAACTTTAAGATAGAACAATAAAAGAATTAGAAAGAAGATAATGATTGATAGTGGTTTTCAAAAATTTAAATACTGGAAAGCAAGAAGCTGGAAAAGAGTTCCACAGGTAAGAAGTGTTAGAAAAGAAACTGTTAGCATAGAACTTATGGTTGCATTTAGTCTAGCCATTTCAACTGTAAAATAAGATCTTGCTACAAATCTAGTACATCATTTAAATTTGGAAAGTTTATCAGAAAAATTACCATGAAAGTATTTATAGAAAAGGCAGTCATTCTTTACATCAAAATAATATACAGGTTCTGATGAGAAAATTGGAAATTTTCAAATGTTTTTTATTACATTAATACAAATAAAGTTACCAGAATTACAGTTTTTCTGGTTGATTGTTTTTCCAGCCTGTATTTGATAAATAGTCATTTATTAGTAAATATGTATTTTTTTGTATTTTTTTTTTTTTTAAATACTTGAATTGTTATAGTTTTTAATTGTAAATAAAAAAAAAACAAATGCTATTTTTATTACAAACATATTTTCCTCCTACTGTTAGTGGTCCTTTCTCCCTCCCCCCCCACCTCACATGTTCGACAGAATTCACATACCAACAGTTTACTAGATTATGGACAGTCTTTTTAAATACTCATTTCTCTGATTTTTTTACACTAGGCTTGTTGGGAGAAAAACATGATAGGATTGTGTATGGTAATTCTTTATCTCTAATTGAAGCTTAGAAACAGAAGGATCTCCCCACTTCCATATGTAAATAAGAGATACAAAAGAACAAAAAAAAAAATAAATAAAAAAGGGACAAAAAAAACTGCAATATTATTGGTACTGACTTTGCATCTCAGTTACTTTCCCACTGCTGTAACATAGCTTTGCTGTGTCTTTTCTATGAATATTTTCATATTGTTCTGATGAGCTTTCTTCTTTGGTACCTAGACTTTATGAATTTAAGCACAGTACTAGACTGGTGGGAAGGTCTCATCATTCTACAGTTGAAATAACTAGATATAAGCATAAGTTCTATCTCCTTGCTTCAATTTCTGTTCGTTTCTTGTTCTGAATCTTTAATGTTTTTCTCATTCTTACTCAGTAACCTTTGGCATTTTAGTGGCTTTATTGCCAGTCAATTGCTAGACTGGATTACTCCACTTGGAGTCTTAGGTAACATGGATTACTTCCCTTTTTATATTAATATTATTACGGTGTGTGACACCTCCTGTTGAACTATTCATTCTGTTAATAAAGCATTTTTGTGTTATAAACCTCAAGGTTGTTGGAGTGTTCTATGATCCTGTTTGTCTGGCATATAAAAAAAATATTGATTTTTATCTTAATGTGTTTTTTTTTTTTTTTTAATTTGTAAGAACTATTAAATTGTTTTCAAAGTCACATATTTACATTGCAATAATGTCTAGATTAGTGTAGTGTCAACTGAATTAAAGAGAATAAAATGACACCACATGATTGACTTATGAACCTAAAGTGTAGGTTAAGTATATGGCATGTTTTTTTTTGTTTTTTTTTATCAGTTCACTCCAAGCAAGGTGATAATAGCAATAAGATGCAAGAGGCCACTGGGAGTGAAAGAGAATGAAAAAGACTTTAGAAGGAACCAAAAACCCAATCTTAAACAGTGAACAAGGGATAAACCTCTACTCATGTCCAAAAGACTAGCGAGGAGTGTGAATCAGACAATAGGAGAAGCTATTACCTGGTAGTTTGGTTGATTCCCTAGGGGGGGGGGGCAGCAAAAATCAATATGTTCTAGTTCAAGAGAAATTATTTAATCTGAGATAACAGACAGGGGTTAAGAAGTCTACCTACATTCAGGTTGAAGCTCTGATACAATATGTGTACTAAAAAAAAAAAAAAAGAAGCTGAAATGTCAAGCCATGGTGAGAAAATGAGTTTAGAAGATGTTTTAAAAGCAATATGGCAGCAGTAGATAGTGCCACTTCACCATATCTAGATGAATTGTGAGTCAGTGTGAACACTGTCAAGGTTGCTAATGATAAGATGGTATAAATCATTGGGTTAGTGTTAGATGGAGATGGACATTCCATTTCAATATAAAAATATGCAATGATAACAGCAAAAAATTGCAATGTGAGCACTAGTTAAAAATGGTTAAGGCAGTGGAGAACTTGGAGAGGGGAATCAACAGGAGATAACTGATATCCATTAAACATGGCATGTGGAACAGTCTAGCAAAATAAAGGGTTCAGTTCGACATTCCAACCACCTGAAGAAGTCCGAAGCATACAACGGCCGAAACATGATAAATATGGCAACAAAGATGAGGATGACAGTCTGAACAATGTAAATAGTTGACAAATTTCAGTTTGAATAAATTAACATTCTGTAAGTAAAATGCAATTAATCAGAAGTCCCCAACCTCAGAAGAAAAGACGACTACCCCAAGGTTTGTTCACTCAGTTTTTCCCCCCAAGGAAAACATATACAAATATCAGATTTAGAAAAAAAAAAAAGAAAAGGAAACAACAATATGATTGAACGTTTACTTTATTAGAATAGAAACAAGTCCTTTCTCTTATAAATTCTTAGACATTATCAACAGATAATTTCAATGTTTTTGTCTCTTCATCAATAGATATAAAAGAGAAGACAACATCTTTAGGGATGTGTTCTGGTAATGAGCAGATGAATGGAAGTCTATTTCTAAAAAGACCAGGTTTCAAAAATTAAATGGCAAAATCATTTGTCACAAAAAGACATTTATTTTGATTTAAGATTTGTGTTTTTTTTTTCAGTGGAAGACTTTGCATGCAAGTGATAATCTATCATTAAAAACAAAATATTAAAAGAAATATAGGTCATATATATATATATATATATATATATATATATATATATATATATATATATATATATATATATATATATATATATACACACACACACGTATACATTCCTACATATATACACACACATGTACGCACCTATACATATCTATATATAAATCAAAATGTAAAATTTAAAAAATTTTGTCTCAAAATTAAATACATAGCGCATCACATAAACATACACAATGACATATATAGATAATCATCCATTAAAATGTCATACCCGATGTTATTGAAACAAGATGGAACCGACATAAGTGACAACACGTTATAAAATGGTGTTTATGTTTTGAATCGTTTATGTCTACATTTAGAAAATATCTCACTACGAAGATTTAGCAACTCATCTTGA